TCTCGCGTTTCGAGCCTCAAATGAAGCTCGAAACGCGAGGAGAAGGGAAAATAAGAGGTGGTCACTGCATTTTTTATTAGCCTTTCGAATTTTTTAAGAAATCCCGTTGTGTTTAAAAATTGTTCTCCTTTTCATTTTATTTGTGGTCAGTTTGAACGAATACCGTAAGGCGAAGGCCAGCTTTGCCCATTATCAATCCAGTCACTCTTTCTCTTGGGTACTAGCGTACATCTGCGTGGTATACCATTTCTTGGATGTAATCACTAAAATTACTTTCCTAACTTGTTCTTCATTCACTGTTATCGTCCGTATAGTTAGTGCGGTGACAGTGTATTCTGTTTTATATAGCTAGTTTAGCAAAACTACGCGGGCATTCAATGTTAGCGATGCTACTGGACCCACGATGCCTAATACAGCTATGTCAGGTCCATTGATTTTGAGCTGTATATCTTCATTCAATCCCTCACTGCCACTTTTGCGCACATTTTGATAAATCTGATGGATTTGAGGAAAAAACACGCCATTGGCTCGCACCACTCGTAGAAACTGGCTATGTTTGACCATCTGTGGCCTCATGCTTGTTCCTTTCAGTTGTAGAAGGATCGAAACAATGGTTTTCAAATTTTGTAACTCAAACCTACTGATTTGATTTCATCCCACAATACTCTATTGGTGCTAGGTTCTAATTTTGATGCACTTTTGTTATCTGCAGAAATACGCTGCTGTGGAATCGTGCATTGCATGTGCCTGTTTCAACTGCAGTTTCTGATTCTTGGTTGGGATATAAGTTCTAGTGGGAAAAGTTTTAATGAAAAAAGTTTTAATGGAAAATACAAAATTTCAAGACTAAAATATTTAAAATTTCTTCCTGAAATCCATGATTCCCGAATTTACGTGAAACGGACTGCAAAATCGCATGTCATGATGACCCATGGTGTATATATGTTTGTGTGTGTGTGTGTCTTTCCAAGTATTTCAAATCGGTAACCAGGCAAGCTTGATGCTGAAATTTTGCCAATGTGTTCCTGGCCAAGTGCGATTTCAAGAGCGTGTTAGCAACTTTCGAAAGTAATTGACTTGAGGACCAGTGAAGTTTCATGCACTTCTAGCATGTACGGGCACGCGAAATTTTTGGTGGGAAAATTGCCAGCTCAGGTGCTAGATGAGCTAAAAAGCTGAAATTTTGGAGACTTGCTCTCTGTCCATGTTTGGCTTAAGGATTTCAAATTCGGATTCAAGGTATGCAGAGCTAACTTAAAGACAATTGAAAGTTTCGGATGAGAAATTATTAACTAGGGAACCAAAAAAAGGCTGAGAAGGTCAAATTCCAGAAGGATGTTCTCCGTTCATGTGCGAGAAGGCAGCTGGATTAAATGGCCGCAAAAATGCATAATCACAGCAGATACCTCCCAC